TTTGTTTTGTCTGAATAGTATAATATAAAATTAATAATTGTGAAATATATAAAATACTGATAGAATAATTTAATTTTATCAAAGAAAGCAACATCATCAAAAATTTGGAAAATCTTATCTCGGAGCAAGAGAGCGAAATGGCCGAGATATCCGAATTTTGGAACTATGTTCGCAGTGGCGGAGACTGCGGGAATTCGTCCAGAGCATGGTGGCCTGGTGGGTGTGATCTTAGTGTCAGGCGGATTCTGATTTGATCTGAAGTTTTCAACTTTATTATAATTTCCATTCTCACCATGATTGACTGGTTTCTCCACTTCCTCATTCCATGGCGTCTCTCCAATATTTACTCCGTCGAGTCGCCTTCCCAGCTTGGTTGAATAAAATATCGTCTGGTACCTTCACAATATCACATTTCATGCTGTGTGAGAGTCCGTCTTGCATGATCTTAGGAGCATACTGCGAGGTTCCAAAATAAAAATATGAACCCAGCCAAACTAAACTTAATCTCGGCTGGATTCGTCGTACTTTATTTGATTTATCAGTATTTGGTCTAGGTGAGATGAGTTCCGGCTGATGGGTCCGGTCCCTGCCGCCCTCATGTTCATCCAAGTGTTTGTGAATTTAACTAAGAGGAAATATGACAAGAAGAAGACATGATCAGTTGGCAAGTGGAATCATATCTTGAACCTAATTTGGACTCTATAAGCCTGCTTGGGGAACATAATTCTATTAAAAACTGATCCTATATATAGAAAAATATACACTATACTAACTAAAGAGTGAAAAGAAAATAAAACATGAATACACAGACACAGCCTTTGGATGCAATGTGGACGTCAGTGTCGCCTATCCACTTGTTTTTTTCCTCTCAAGAGACAGACATCTTGTTGGCTTACTGTTGTTTTATCATGGTGAAAGTTCACTTATCAAGACAATTAGTACATGCATGAAAATAAAACGAATTAGTTTGAATATGCAAAAGGCGGAATTGATCTCTCTTTACAGTCATCCTTTCAGTTGTCCATGTCGTTCAGAGCTCTAAATACAACCCCTCTTCTATGAAGAGAGAAGATGAATTCACCAATCGCTTGAGTCTTCTTTTTTTTTCCTTTGTGTGTGTGTCTGTGTTTTTCCTATTTTTGGGTAAATTAGGATTGACTTGAGCTACCATGACTTCGAGTAAGTTGTCATATGTGCGTCCCTTTGAACAAGAAACTACCGAGCCAACTGTTAAACCAACTGGATGATATTTGCAAGCAGGGGTGTCAATTGTACCGGATTTGGTCCAATGGAAATCCATTACAGATGGGTTAGGTCCAATCCAATATTTCATGATTTCTGAACCATTTTGGACCAGTCCAATTTAATGACTGGACCATCCAATCTTTTCAAATTGGTTTTAATTTAAATTGATTCCAACTCAAACTTGGCCCATTGACACCTATATTCTTATCTTATATCAATGGATCGGATATTGGTTCAATCCAATCCAAAACCGGTCTATTGACGCCTTATATATAAGTAATTTTATTACCACCAGTGTTCCCCCATAAATTAAGTCCAAAGTCAGATATAAATGAGGATTTCCCGGTTAAAAATGAGAGTGCTGACTTGCTCATTTACGAGAGGTTCTACAATATGGTTGGTTTTATTTTTGAAAATAAAAATCACTATTGCATCAGTAAAATACTAAACTACATACTTTGGGTAAGTCTAAACAGAGATTTGTGGTCCAGCCTCCACCATTACCAACCATTGACCGTTCATTAAACTGGTGTTCAACAATATAATTTTTTTTTTGAAAATAAAAACAATTGCTACATGAGTAAAAACCATATATGTGTGTATATGTATGTATAGAATTTTGCAATCAATTTTGTTCCCAAAAACAAAACCAACAACCATGTTGTTGAACATCCTCTAAAGCTGTATTTGATTTGAAGGAAAAGATTAAAAAAAGGTAAAAAACCTTTACAAACTTAAACCTTATAGATTTTTCTATATTTCCCTTTCTTTTCATATCTTTTCTTTCAAATCAAACATAGCCTAAATGTACTGATAGAATTAAATATATATTATGTATGTTCATGTGCCTCATAGATTTTTCCACACGGCTAAAGACAATCTGGTTTGATAGAAATAGAAGCTATAACCACAAGTAGAGGACAAGGAAGTCTCATGGAGATATTTGATACAGATACGATAGACCCGATATTTTGGTCCTGGATTTGCACAAGGCAGAAAGAAATCCTCACATGCATGCAAGCTATTTGGTGCCGAACGTGATGATGACTGCAATATCTGCTCTGGCGCCAACCATGCAATATATAATGTGGGTTGTAGGGTCTTTGACTGGTGCAGCACTAAGGAATTAAATGTTATTCATCCAATCTTTACTCTTTCCCCCATCCAACATAATCACGGATCTGAATTTTAGAAAGGGCCCCTCATGTCACGTGAGGGGAGCACATGCTAGAACTATGTGGGTCATGGATGTTAGTCACTCACGTTCCAATTGGATCAAAATGCAAAAGGCCGGATTAGTCACAAACAAGCCGTGACAGAATTAAGGACGACCCGGTTGTTCTTACCAAGTCTTAAAATTGTTGAATGAATCCAGATCTTTTTTTTTGTCAATTGCAAAATGGACAGAATCCYTTAGAAGTTCAAAGTTTGGATGGTAGGCCCAGATACATGCAAAGGCATTGCTCGATATATATTAAGCAAGGTTCAAAGTATCAACATGTATTGGCCTGAATTGGAGTTTTGACCGATTTAAAGAACAGGGGAGACCTAAACCAACCCCTTGAATCAGTTGCAAAAAAAAAAAAAAAAAAAACTTGAAACACTATCAAATCGCCCAATACGCTCATACCAAGTGTATCGATATTTTGAACCTTGATTTTAATTTTAAGCACTATAATTAACAGGTAGCACTTAATATATATTACATCCTCATGAATTAAAAGTCCGGGTTCAATGGATAATGGGTTTGCACCGATCACGAAAACATGTATTGTGTTTTGACCTTCAGAAGAAAACGACCTCACCATTGTGGTCACGTGGATTAAAGATGGATGACCGACCAAAGTCCAAAACTGGGTGGCGCTAGCGGCTAGCTTCACCAATCACCACTGATGCAATCATCATTCATCCCCATCCCCAGTTTCAAAAACCGGCTGGCCTTGTGGGCTGTGGGTGTGGTGTGGCCTTTTGTCATCTCCGTCTCGCGCTGTGGGCCTGTGGCGGAGACCTTTCGGCTTAAGTTTCGTGAACACTTGATAACTGACTAAACATGAGAAAGGTGGGGATCGGACCGGGCGATCTTAAGAAGGTCATGGTTTGCTATTTGCATGTCCGGAGAGAAACGTGGGTTTCGTTGGTAGGCCCCGACTTGTATGCTTGTTTGATTGTCGGCCGTTCGATTTATGTTCGTTGTCTTGCTCTCCCGGGACAACGGCCCGCTCCACCTGGACAAAATCTTTCCATGTGTGTATGGGCGTTCGTTCAAACTTCAAAGCTGCCCTTCTTGTTTTAGTGGACATGCATGCGCCACAGAGCTGTGGCGTGGATTCCTTTCTTTCACTTTTTTGTGGGACCCACCCGCTTGATTAAAATATGTGATCCATGAATCGCGGCCATCTATCTGATCTGGGCCTATAAGCGGAAGAAGGAAGATCCATGATTCCGTGGGTTGATATTGATTTTCATCAACCTTCTTGCGTGCCACATACGCCAACGTCACCATGTACTTTGCCCCCCCCCCCTCTCTCTCATGGATGGTGTCGTTTTGCGGTTTCATTCACTAACCGCTAAAAAAACCGATACGGTTACGGTTACTTGTTCAATGGAGAAGGAGAACTGATGAACTATCACTCTATCAGTCTCTTTTCCCTTCCATGTTCGGTTCGGGTTGCGCACAAGAACTTGTTCTAACTTATCCATTTCAGACCTCTCGTTTCGGTAGGTAGGGACCACCGAACAGTCGAACACCAACACCATACCAGATTACCACCATGAAATCACAAAAGATTGTGATAGTAGTATGGATAAACTTTTTGCGGACGTGGCACCACTGAGAGAATGCTGGGACCCACCGTATCGAAGTACTCAGCTTTTAATTTTGAAGTCCACCTAATCAACTGTTGCTATTTGCTATCCATCTATGATGTAAAAACTTCGCTGTTAGCATTAATGTCATCTTTGGCAGATTATGATTATTCGCTCATCCATATAAAGTGGAAATGGAATTTCTTTGATCACCCAATTTAATTGGCTATGATGAATCTGAAGGATCTTCCAAGTGGACCCCAGTTTTATATTTTCTCGTGGAGGACGACTGCACACGTCTCCCACTCCGACTTAGAAAAAAAATAAAAATATAGCAAAATTAAATAAAAGAACCAGAAACAAGCATCGTGTGCTTCGCGACATCCAGGGGAATCAACCAGTTCACTACCAGCCACTACTTGTCTGAAAAATTGTTACATTGCATGGACCTAACTTTTTTTGCCACGTCAATAATTTCGTTGGGTCCCACTCACAACAGAACCATACCTCCCATCAAGGCATGAACCCATCCCACGAATAGCCGCACCCGTTTAGTCGCCGCTCGCCAGCTTGGGCTTCTGGGTTTCCCACCGAACAAATGCAGATATTCACTAATTTAAAATAAAATATATAAAAACAATATTTGGCTGTAATTTGTAAACCAAGAAGCATCACGTGGATCGAAGTTGGTCCAAAGCTAGCCGCGCTTCTATCACATGCTTTGGTAGTTTATGGGAAAAGTCGATGCATCAAATGGAGCGACAATCAAGTGGATCATATCATCCGATGCTCTAATGTGACATGTAATCACTGTTTAGAAAGTGCCTCCTTTCCTTGGCTGGGGCGTCACGGCTATTAGCCTAGTATGCCTAGAGCCACAGAACCAAAAAAATGCCTGCTGGCACCAGATTCTCATCCTCCAAATTCAATTTCTGATTGACCACCCAAATGTTCGTGCATGAAATTCTCATCTCATCTCATCTACTCACTTTCAAGTTTCAACGGTGGAGATATGATCTGGTGCAAGGATAAGGATAACTCACCGAAAGCTTGTACGTCACCACCAATCTCAGAAATTTCGTTACGTCAGAAACCGTTTTCTTTGGGGTTATTTTACAACTGAAAAGCGAAAAAGAACCCCCTCCCGTCCCCAACCGGCCAATCAATATAAATACTTTCGCGGTCTCCATTCAAATTCCCAAAGCTCTCTCCTTATATTTCTTAAGTGCTAAGGCGTTCCAAGTTACGGCTTCTCTCTGAAGGTGGTGGTTCTTACTTCTGAGATGGAAAAGCAGCAGCTCCGATGGAGTCGTGGGAATTACATAGGGAAAGGTTCATTTGGAATCGTTAGCCTCGCCACCGATGAGTCTGACGGCCGAATTTTCGCGGTGAAGTCCGTCGATCCCAATTCGTCTGTCCCTTCTCACCTCGAATCATTAGAGAACGAGATTCGGGTTCTGAAATCACTGTCCTCGCCTTACGTGGTGGAGTACCTCGGTGACGACCTGACGCAGGAGACTGCGACAACATGGTACCGGAATTTACACATGGAGTATTTGCCCGGAGGTACCGTTGCTGACTTGTCCACGCAATTTGGCGGGAAGGGTACTGATGTGGACGAGCGCATTGTACAGTCCTACACTTGGTGCATCGTCTCTGCTTTGTGGTACGTACACGCCAGGGGCATCGTCCACTGCGACGTCAAGGGTAGGAATGTTCTGGTGGGTTCGACGCCCGGTGTCGCAAAGCTTGCCGATTTTGGGTCCGCCAAGCGAATCTTCGGCGGAGGAGCAAATAACGAGGAAGAAGGGATGATCTTGCCTCGTGGGACGCCACTCTGGATGGCGCCAGAGGTAATCCGACGGGACCGGCAGGGGCCAGAAGCTGATGTCTGGTCGTTGGGTTGCACGGTAATCGAGATGATCACTGGCAAGCCAGCGTGGCAAGATTGCGGTGGTGCCACTGCAACGATGTGTCGGATCGGTTTCTCCAATGAACTACCGGATTTTCCAGCTAAATTGTCGGCATTGGGTCGTGATTTCCTCGATAAGTGCCTGAGAAGGGAGCCGAGCGAGAGGTGGACTTGCGAGCAGCTTCTACGACATCCTTTCGTATCGGCAGGTGCTATTACGGAACCATCTCCAAGGTGCGTACTAGATTGGCCTAATTCGGAATTCTACGACGACGAAGAGGAGGAAGAAGAAATTCAAGTCCGTAATGGTTCAAGTTCTCACAATTCCGAAGTTCCTGCTAGGGAAAGGCTTAGGGGATTAACTACTGGTAGGAGGCTGCTTTGGGAGTCCGATGGTTGGGAGGTAGTAAGGCAGCCGGGTTTAGTCTGTGACAGGGGAGAAGGTACGTGTGGTGGCGGAGTGGGAAGAGATGGCACAAGTTCGGAATATTCGAATTTGGTTGGGAATAAAGAGGAAGAGGCAGGGATAAGTTCGGAATCTCGGGATTTTCTTAGTGGCGGAGAAGAAAGTGAAGGGACATCCCCGGAATTTTTTAATTCTGTTGTTTGTCTCCCTTGTGGTGAGTGGTTGAATTGCGTAATAATCTGTAGTGGTAGTGGTGGTGGCAGTGGAGGTGATGACAGAGCTGATTCTGATTGTCAGCATGAGCAAAAAATGGGCTTTTACGGTTGGTGTAAATTGTTATTGTTAATTCATTTAATGAAAACTCAGATTTCATTTATTATTTTTATTCTTGGCTTCAGTTCATCATATACAAAGATGCATGTGAGCACCGTCTCTATCTCTCTCTCCATCCAGAAATCCAGTTGGGTTGGCTTTCCACCACGTGAAATACAGTCTGTCCCTCTCTTTGAGCCTAAAGTCCTAGAAGATTCAGTTCAGTGGTCAGTCCTGCAACAAAGACAAACAACCCAATATATAATTGCGTCTGTCGTATGGCAGAGAATGGAACGCAAATTAATGAACAACGGACAAGTCTATGTAAGATGTTGAGAAGATTAGCTTAATTACTCGAACAGGGGGGAGGGGTCAGGTGGGGGAATCGGGAAAGGTCTGTCTCTCTGCACCCTGTTGGACAGGCCCCGGCCAAACCAGGGCGAGTGACAGATCATGTTCATGTCAACTGGATCCAAACTTGGGTTGGATCCGAAGGGTTCGTTCATTAATTTACATGGACCTGCTTTGGTTGGTTTGGAAAGTCAGGCTCAAGTTGGACACGTAAGACTGAAGCCCTCCAAGCGCAATTACTTTGATACATTAGCTGGCAAAGGCATAAAACATTAGAACCAATTGATAATACGAGATTATGAGCAGCACTTGACCCAAATCACCCTCAATAATTCTTCTGCTTTAACTCTTCAAGTTGTTTCTTGTCCTCCTTCTCTTTCGGTTCTACTTTTCCTTTCAAACGAAACAACGAGAAAATTATGAAATAAATTAAGCTTACTTGGTTGATTCAAGTTTGGAACCTATGTAGATTCTCTTTGTGTGGATGGCAACACGAGATTTGACAAATCAGCCATATAGACAAATGATTTTCACACAGGTCTGTTCTGATTTACATGTTATTGTTACCTAATGCTGATTGTTTCTAAGGGTATGCTTGGTTCGTGGTGGGATAGATAGATAGATATAGAAAGAGAGTGAATGAGTGAGAGTGAGAGAAATATGTTTTGGGGTGTAAGGAGATAGACCAATATAAGACCACGATGTTATCACTAGGGATGCAAACAGATCGAATTGAATCTGTTCAGGGTATATTCGAATCCGGTTCAAAATAGCATAGATCTGATTGAATTTCATAAATATTGGTCCACATATGATCCGATCTGATTTCATTTAAAAAATTAATAAATTATTAACAGTAAAAGAAAATATAACAATTTAAATAAAAAAATACAGATACTTTTTCAACTATTTTTATTATATATACATGTTTTTTATAAAAAAAATAATATAAAATATTACAAAGAATATAATATAAATAGCATATTTATAAATTATATATATATTCAAATCAGATAGGGGCGCTCTAAATCTGAATACKGTTTCTAATCAGATCCAATTTTTCAATCTAATCCAAAGATTCAAAATAGAGATATCCCAATTCAATAAAATAAAATTAGACTTCAAATCAAATCAAATCATGATCCAATCCATTTACACCCCTTATCACCACAACCTAACCATTAGACATGTTTATGGGTCTGGTCAGGCCGGGTTCGGGCCGGGCTTTTATTCTTCATGTATGGAAATTTGTTAGGCCTGAGCCCGAGCCCGGCCCGACCAACGGGCCTACAACTTGGGCCCGAGCCTAGCCCTGATAAAAAGCCCGAAGCCCTAGCCCAAGCCTGAGCCCGAAGCCCGAGTTCGCGGTGATTGTAAGCTACGATTTCAACAGTGATTAATTCGCGTCTGAGAGAAAGAGAGAGAGAAAACTCATCGCCACCGTCGGTGCCTATATTCGTCACTTCGCCGGTGACTATAAGTTGAGTTCGTGGTGTCTGAGATTTGTAAGCTGCGATTTCAGCAGTGATCAGTTCGCATCTGAGAGAGAGAGAGAGAGAAAGTGAGAAGAGGAACGGTGAATGTGCGTCGCCTCGCCGGTTGTGTGGCTGCCTAAGAGTGTGAGGACTGAGGAATGAGGAGGATGTGAAGACTGAAGAGAAGAGAGGTTCGGCTGGAAAGAGGTGAAAGAGAAGAGGGATTCGACTAAGGTTTTTTAACTTTAATCTATAGGTCGGACTCGGGTCAAGCTATTTTGACAAATACCGAGCCCGGTTTGAATTTATTGTGGGTCGGGCTTTTTGGCCCGAGGTTAAGCCCACTGGCTTTTTTGTGTGTTCAAGCCCGTCCGGGGACCAGGCCAGGCCGGGCCGGCCCATGAATAGGTCTACTAACCGCATAGAAAACGTGCGGACACCTCTTGAAAAAATACACAACCGACTTCCAAGCTTGTCCCTCGGTGTGACACGTGATGAGTTCATATGAGAGTGGTGGTAAGTTCAAATCAACTTGGGGACATGAGGTAGTAAATACCAAAAAAAAATTGATCTAAAATTTTCTCTCAAACCAGAATCCTTCCTTCGTCTATAACATATCATGACTTGTGATGGAGGAGGAGATCAAACCTTATTTATCCTATCATTCTTGGGGGCACTCTATTCTCTAACAATATCAACTCTGCTCACCAAACCCTTGTCATCTCCTTCTGCATCAACTCTTTATATTTCTCTCTCTCAAAACTCAGACCCACCATAATGCCTACAAGCGATTTCTAAATCACGTATTCACGTATCCCTTTTTTATCTGGAATGAGATTCTCATTCTAACGGGGGAGGCCAAAATGGGCACTCCCTTAAATAAGGGAATGCCATTCTGCCCTGCCTAACCAAATGGTTGGAAGTTCCAAACCCATATTTTCACAAACCAAACTGATTCTAAGTTTTAAAATTTTATATAAAAAATAAAAAAAAAAATCAATACAGAAGAATATTAAGCGTGGACCCCTTTACCCCAAATAAAACCGAGCAGATATCTAATTATGGGTTCAACATACGATGCCGTAAAGATATGATATTGAGAAAATTTACAACCAATCAATCAGCATCACAAAAGTAGGAACCAATCAGATGAATTTTCATCAAAATTCATGAGAGTGTGATTGTGATGATAGAGTGGCCATAGGCCCTCGTTTGATCCTCAACATGTTGGAATATTCAATGGCTTTGTGACAAATCACATGTTGGTGGAAGATGATTATTTCATGGTTATCTCTATGCAATACCTTAACACACAATCATTTACATTTTTTAAATTATTATCTATTTATTTATTTTCTATACAAGAAAATTTATTTGATTGTTTACTGGAAGATGTTTTATGCATAAAGATACAATATCATTGGATTTTTCTGGATCAGCTCTTACTGGGTCAGTGGATATTCATTTGACCCAGTCTAGACTGGATAACCAAGTGGTTAGATCCGTGGTTAATATGAGACACTTGTCTCAAATCTGATGGGGCATGAGTTATACTGTTGAGTGAAAAAGGGGTCACTCCCAATTGCTTTAATATGAGTGATTACTGAGAAAGGAAAAGATCCTCTCTGCCTTCCATTCAGATTAAGAAGTGTCTGGTTGCCTTTTGGTGTTGCGGACCAGTGTCTTGGATCCTATGAATGACTCTGCTGATGCTAAAATTGTGAGTCCTCTTCAGGTGATCAGCTCTCCTAAGTTCCTTCCTTGAGATTGGTCATATCCCTTCAAATATCATATCTTTCTAACATCATAGACTTTTCTTTATTAAATACTTTCTTTTTCTGTTTTTCCCCTTTATGAGATTTTTTATCGCTAAACTCCTCTAGGAAAAGCAACATTTTCCATTGGGTAAAAAACCATTATTGGCTTGCAAACCAAGTAACCGCTATAATCTTCTAGACCAATGTTAGCGTCACGGCATCGTTGCCCACCTCCGAACCTTTCTGATTTGTCCTGTGATTTGAGGCCTCCATAATGGACAAGGCCCATTATCACTGCTCATCTTCATGTGATTTGAATCTTATTTTCTGATAATTCAAAAAAGAATGCAAGGCCATGTACAGAAAAAGAGAGGTTAATTAATAGCAAGGCCCACGGTGGTGGCATTGCTCGTCTTCCTCTCTCGTTTTTTTCTGATCGAGAACCAAGAAATAGTACGCACGGGAAACATGTAAAATCATGAGGCGATTAATAGCAAAGTTGCATTCAGTACAGTAGATGCCTCATGGCTGACTTAGTGACTTCTATTAAAAATGGAACCAACCGTGTAATCCAATAAGTTACTAGGAAAGACACTGTTCAGACTAGCTCTGACAGATAGAAAGGTTGTGGTAGCTTATGCTAAGAAATCTCCCTATGGATAGGTTGACTGTGGAACTTGATGCTTCCATTTCATATGTTATCCTCGCCGAAGGGTACCTTCTTTGAAAATCTCACCAAAATAGTTTAAAAAAATATATCCAGTCGGCACCATGAAAAGTTACTGGAAAACAACAATTAGAGTTTGGTGCAAAGAGCGGCAGAGAACTAGAGCAACTACTACTAAAGTCAATTGCGCAAAGAAAGACCCTTCACTGTGGACCACTAAATGGTTTCCGAGTCGTAACCCTCATAATAAATCATATCCACTCTGGCCAAGCTCAAACATTTTGGACAGTTGAGATCTGAAGTGCTCTTTGCGTCATTGCTTAATTTTCCGATGATCTGTATTCTCCTGCAGGTAAAAGAAGAAGACGTCCTTTCTCAAATTTACAAAATTCAAACCTATGAGGTATCAACTACCAAGTTCAGGTGTTTAACGGTATGGATAATAAGACTCCACTTGTTTGCTATGCAACTTTATTTGCACTTGTGCAAATGAAAATAAAGCAAAATCTGATTGAATTTTGCTTTCTTTTGCTTTACATTGCTTCAGGTTTCATGTTACTACGTCTGCAATGCAAACAAACAAAATAAGAAAGAAATTGAAACAAAAATTAATCAGAATTTCCATTCCAATCATTTATACCCTAATACATTTGCATCAGTGCAAATGAAATTACACTACAAACGAACCATAAGTAGGTTAGCTTACTTATTAGTTCCTTAATTGCTGAATACCATATTCAATTTATTACCATGCCTCTTTTTTTGCATTAATTAGAAAGAGGGGGCTACACAAATCTGGGGGTGGCACTTTTCCAACAATCCATAAAGAAGATAGAGTTCATTATGTTATCATCCGATATAAAATTTGATTGACAAGTTTTTGCTAATCTAATCAGCTGTCTGATTCACTTCTTTGTAGACATGAGTATGTTGTGGCAATCCCTTCAAATAGTTTATTGTATGACAATTGTATCATAATGGGACTTTTCTGGATGTGCCTTTTTTTCCAAAAAAACATAGAAACTTCATTTAGATTGATCATGCACAGTACAAAATGTTCTTATACAGATTTCATCTGCTACTATA